GTGTGTGTGTGTGTGTGTGTGTGTGTGTGTGCGTGCGCGCACGCACGCGTGTGTGTGTGAGAACATTTTAGTGGAGTTGACTGATTTTAACCTGAAAGCTTTCTTGTTTTTACAATAGGCAAAACTCCTCACGATATATAAACTGACAAAAAGATTTCGTTTTTTTTGAGGGTCTTAATTGGCCTCTCTCTGAAGTGCATCAAATCAATATATTTTTAAAAATCACAGCATAAAAGAGTCATAACATCACATTAATCCACAGTTTTTCTAAATGATCCTGTGTGAAAACAGCAGAATTAGGTGGACAGGACTGGTCASTAGTTTCTGTCCCCTCAGGCCGTGTCTGGCACATTTCCCTCTGCTGAGGCAGGCAGCTCCTGTGGGTTTTCAGGGAACAGTGGAGGTGGGTGTTTCTCCTCGCAGACTGTGGACAAAACCAAATAAATCYGAAAATCAGCACAAAAAAGCTGGACCCAAGCCATCTTTCTGTCAGGACTGTATTTCTTCTTCAGCTCGAGGGTCATGAAGGTATCAACACAAACAGTAAACACAGATAAAGATGCTGAATAAATGCTCCTGATGGCAGCTGATTGCACACAGATGTGCTCATCTCTCATTAACCCTCTGGTGTCCCCCGCCTGCTTTTTGAGGAAACGATGGATAGGAAAGTATTTGTCCTTGGGTGTAATTAGGTGGCCAATTAACAGATTCAAGGTAGGGGGTTTTCATTATTCCTCTCTCACACACAAATCATCATTTGTATGATTCCCTACACTGTGTCCTTTCACATCCAGCTCTGAGAGAGAGATGTGCCTGTTCTCAAGCACAGACATTACTACCTCTTTTTCTCTGGCTTTGTGTGGCCTCTTTTTTTCTGTCCAGCTAAAAGGAGACATGGAGAAGCATTAAAAAAAATCCTACCTAGGATTCCCTGTTGCGCCAGTTCTTCTTCTATAGAAATCAAACGGTTGTATTTAGTCATCCTCTCAGCGCCACTCAGACCTCCCAGTTTGACATATCGCAGGCCCAGGCCCACAGCCTGAGGAGGAGAAAAGCTGCAGTGAGGCGCAAAAGACTCTTCTAAACAGTGCCACGTTTTTAGATTTTGAAAAAGGTCAGCTGTTTCCAGAGCAGCGCCACCTCTGCTGTTGTCCTCATCCTTAGAAGGTTCTGGTCGATGATCACGACTAGACGGAACAACTAATTGTTGTGAGCAACATGGTTATGAGACAAAACAGAAATTTAAGCTCAGACAATCACTGTGGGTCATATTGAAAATTCCTGAACTTTGAGGGAAAACCATGAGTCTTGAAGCAGTGAGAGACACTGGGTGAGAGAAGGCATGTCACTGTTGTGATGTATAAAGTGTGAATAGGATGGGTTTATTTGCCACAACTCTGGAAAGTTTAGAAAGCTTAAATATTAATTTGYAACATCAAGTAATAAAACAAGCAATTGTGTAATTCATAAAAATATTACTTCAGACTGATATGTAAAGTCAAAATGCAATATCCACAACCAAGCTACAAGTTTTGRCATATTTTTGATTGAGATTTTCCAAAAAGGCAGGAAAGTAGCAAATCAAAAACTGTGACAAAAAAAAACAGAAGAACAGTGTTCTACATTCTGTCCAAATTCAGGGGCCAGGTCCTTCAAAGGACCCAGCCTACCCAGTCTAGGTGAGCCGGGTCCTTGGTAGAATGTTAAAGAGCTGGAAAAGAGTGGGTGTGACTATGGACGGTCCAGCCTTCTGTTTTAYTCCCGCCCTTACCCCAGCCCTAGCAACCGTGACAAAGCTAAACAGAAGCCAGAATAGAAAGAAATTTGCAAAATATCAATATATTAGTATTGTTAATATGTAGGGGTCACCTCGAGTGAAATAATCAAGGAAACTGTCTTGGGCCTGAGACCTCTGATAGGCCCTCTAAAAAGAGAGAATCTGTTCCACTTAAGACTGAATTTAGGCCACCACAGTTCACCTCAGGTGACATTCTTTTTCTTAATCAGATAATAAACAGAATAATCTTCTTTTTATTTGATTTATTTATTTCTTCACTAAGGAGTTATGACGCATTTTGATAATCATGAAACGGTAGCTGCATTTCCACTGACCATGAAAATGCGCAAATTAGAATTTCAAAAATAAATTTGCTTAWKGGAAACRCGYCAACTTCGAAAAAACTTTMTTTTTCTCGACAAAATGTTTTCGCGCTGGGATGAGGTGGTTTTTCGGCTGTATCGAAATTATTTTATTTAGCAAAACTACAATGGAAACCCTTTTTTCACATCACAGGAGTCACGTGATCAAGAACGGGCTGTTTCTACTGGCGAAAAAGACGAAGAAGAAAAGACAACAGGAAGTAGAAGTAGTAGTAAAATCACCGAAGTTGTAAAAGAAAGTAGTAAACTCACTGACTACAAGAATTTCCCAAAGACGTCGCATACATAGGCTGTGTCCAAAACGACAGGCCGGGTCCTCTGGAGGACCCAGACTACCCGGTCGCGGCGGGCCGGATC